ACTACGCGATGGCTACGTGGGCTGGCGCGAGTTTACAAGCGCGCTCGCATTGAGGGACGGCTTAACCCGATTTGAAGTAGCACACAGTGCCCTTCGAAGTTCGAAACTGACAGACATCTGTGGTTCTTTGATCATGAGTGACACCTACGGCATCAAATCTGTATAAAAACTTCGGAATAATGCCATGCAGTTGCGAAAAAGCAGCACAAGGGTGTGATCTAATACCGAACCACACCGTCCCACCTAGCCTGCGGGCATTTATAAAGCTTGGTTTCATGTTGGACCATAGTCGTCAATGTGTTATTCCTCATATTGTTTCATCCACGGCGGAAGCAGTGTAGTGCGGCTCTTGTAAGAGGCTCACATGACGGTGGTCAAACCCCGGATGAAATTAGTCCAGCAATCCAGGCCTTCCATACCTACACCCACGGTGATCACTAGGCTGCTTCTAGAAAATGAAAATCTTGAAATTTGCATCGTCTTCTACAAATATAGGCTCAATCGCATTCAAATTATTTCGGTTTTCGAATAAAAGTCGAAGCGTGGCGCATCTACGAACGCATCGATTGGTCAATACCAATGTTCCATTCTCTATCATTTTCCTTGTATTCGAGATAATTTTACAGATAGGGTTTGATAGTGTACATTGAGTATTGATTTTCACTTTGAGATCAACATGACGCGGTATATTCCACGAGGATGCGCCATTGTGCGCATTATTTGTTGGTTCAATTTTACCAACTGGCAACCCACTCGCAAAATTCTACATGTCTGCCAAGTTTACACAAGTTGAGGTGCATTGGCTATCCTCTGTATGGCCGATGTCAGACTTTGCGAATCGCGCGATTCGCTAGCGTCTGCGGTCGCGTCGCGGCCAGTGAATCACTCAATTGGCTGGTACCGCAACGCGACCGCGGACGCTAGCGAATCGCGCGAATCGCAAAGTCTGACATCGGCCTTATTCTTTCACAGGATTTTTTCAAAGGTGGTTTTGGCTAATAGTAGCGATGAGAATTTCCAGTCTTGTCACGTCAATACCTGGGAAAATCTTGCGCTGTGTTGTTTCGCACGTAAGGAATAGAGAATGTACCGACCATACATTGATGAGAAGAGAGAAGGTACGCTCTGGAGAACAAGAACATGCTGCGGTTGCTGGTCCGGCTGAGCATTCAAATGATATCGAATGGTCTTCTGAGGACTAAGCCTCCTCGATAAGAAATGTATCAATTTCCAAAAAAAATTTATCCATCGTTTTGTAAGAAACAGTTTTCTTTAGATTTTATCTCGATTGTTATCTAAAAAGTAATTGTTTTGTAAGAATTGGTTTCCTTCAACTTTTCTTGTCTAAGAAGTATCTGTTTATCTGATTACGTTTGTTTCTCCTTGGTCTTTTGGTAATGAAATTTTTTCGAAATTCTACTTTTACAAAGGTTTTTCGTATTGTTGTGCGTTGTTAACGCTGCTATCGCTTTTATTTTATTTTTTTTTTGTCTACATATTTAGCTTGCGATAGGCTGACACGGTTCTTGTTATTGCAGAGAGGTATGGAAATTTGCAGTGAGCAGTTCGTAGTCATTTTTAAGCAAATGGTTCCAGCCTTGGAATATTCAACGTCATCTCAGGTTAATCTTTCTGAAGTCCTTAGGCTGCTGTGCTATCAAGATAACAATTTCGGCGCTACTCAAGGGGCGATGGAGCGGGGGAGGTTTGCAATCACTATTGCAATCTGATGTTAACACGTTGACGACATCGCATGTTTTGGCATTTTGCACCTCGTGGGACAGGAGCGATTTTGCGACCGCGCCGTCCTCACCTTACTTACGCTTATTTTTTGTTAAAAATGCACAATAACTTGAATTTCATAGGACTATTTCGGCAAGGATGAACGTATAAAGGTTAACTATATAAGTAGCAGTAGGTTTTTGTTTAGAAGAGTGCATAATGACCACGAAGAAGTAAAAAACGCTTTCGCTGCGAATGAAATTAAAAGCATTTGTATCTAAGTATTTCCATCACATGCAAATATATTGAAACTCACAGAGTTTTGTATTAACTAATTCTACAATCTTTCATATAAATGTTAACGACAGTGAAAGGAATACTAGGAAAGAATTGAAATGAAAGTTTTGTGCGTTCGGAAAATTTTTGCTAAATCATAGGATACTTGACCACTCTGGCTGCCAGGCGGTTTATAGTTATGCTAATGTATTATCTATAGAATGAATACAAGAAACCCGAGAAGAAGGAGCGCAAGCACGATAAAAATGAATAGCATAGACTTGACGCGCTTGCGCGTCAGAATGTCCGATGCGGTGCGAAATTCTTGACGCGCATGCGCGTCAGCTTGTCGTCAACGTGTTAAACAGAGGAATTCCTTGTGCAGGTGAAAGTGGGAAAGTCATTTACATGCAACCCCCCCCCTTCCTCTCCCCTTTAGTTCTGTCCATGGCTTGGCCCTAGGGGGGAGGGAGAATCCTTAATGCGTTGAATGTGTTTTCCGCATAACGAATGCCCCTGCGTAACCACTTGCAATTTTTGCGATTCGCACGAATTGCGAAACGGATCGCGTACTCTGACACAAGCCTAACACGCCACATGAATTACGACGTAGCGACTACTGGAGAGGGGGACTACTGCGGATTCCATTGCAGAGATGATACGAGGACCTTTTTCGAATTCTACGCCTGTTTACAGATTTTCAGCAACTTTAGAGACGTTTAAATTGTATGTTGTGTGGAGGAAAGGAACGATCAGAAAATCCACGCGACCGAGTCTGAAAGGGTCCAATCTTTCTGCAAACGGCAGTTTCGGGCAAGTTTAGGTTTTGATATGCAAAAAAAGTTTTCGCCAAAGTTACCAAGTCGTACTTCTCAGAAGCTACAAAAAAACCTTCTCACATCAGGACCCAAACCCGGGGTTGATTCAAATTAGGGGCGGGCTGCGTGGGTGATCTCGCGCACTTATCAGGCTTGTCTAAACATGATGAAGCCATTCCATAGTGTGAAGACATAGAGGTTCTTATGTGATTCGCCACCATCTCTCAGGCCTTTTAGTCATAAGTCATAGTGTTCGCTGGCGACTAACGAGTTGGACGTTTGCGCCAGCGAATCAAACGTTGCACCCAGCGAATCGACCGATGCACTAGCGAAGCTCTAACTATGTACCAGCGAGTCCAACGATGTACCAGCGACTCAATAGTGGCGGACCCAACGATCAAAGGAGCCGCTACTTTCGAACAGTGTCACGTGACGAGTCAATTTAAATGGGCGCCAGAGTCAACCCTGCGTTGCGCAGTTCGCAACGGCACGTTGAGAGATCCTCAACGCACGCTGTATGGGCGGAGACGCAGACGGCTCGAGCATGCGAGTGTGAATGTTCGCGCGAGAGAACGTGTCTAATCGGGCGAAACTGCGCAACGTGGCCGTTGAGAACTGCGCAACGCAGGGTTGACTCTGCTTCAGACTACCGTCCTCTTTGTAAAAAGAATTTTTCAGTGCGAGTGCCGCAGCACCTCACATTTATCAGAGGCGGGGCCAGGAAGACCGCGCTCACCACCTTCCTCGACTAGTACGCGCTGCGTCAAGGTCTTTCGCGCGCGATTCGGCACGTATAGCAATTCACTGGAAGTCTATTCGGGAATCTGAGGAAACGGACCCGGTGTTGAACCTTTCAATTCAGTCCGTTTGCTTTTCATCTAACTAACTAACGATCAACAAATGCACAAACCTTAGATGAGTAAACTTCCGTCAATAGAATCGCATAATGTTGATGTATTCCAAGATGCACATCATTGCCTTGGGTTTTCACTGACATGCCGTACAGCAGCTTGCCGCAAATCCCTGTGATACTTTCATTTTCATTTCTTTGCTGTTTGCGAACCCATTTTATATAACCACGCACGTATCAAAAAGACACGATAATTTTTGTTCCGAGTAATGGAAGTTTTAGAGTGAAAAAGGGAAAGTGTGTTGAAATGGATAAAGGAACTTTAGAGAGTTCAAAATATTGACTCCCTTTCTCTAGCTTGGAGGCAGTGGCCGGTATTCAGATGAGAAGGCAGCCTACTGGTCAGTGGTGCATGGTGATGACAGGAAAACCATGTGTTACTCGGTCTAATTTTTCAAATGAGAGACGAATTGGCCATCGACTTCTGAGATGACGCTACCTCACTCGGTGCTTCCCTCTTCAAGCTTCAACGCTTCTATTTGCCTTTACGCATGCGGTCAGGGCGGCGAGAGGAGTAGTGGGTGCGCGGGCGAGGGAGCGCAAGTTTGGTTCTTGCTAACACTGGGGGCATACTCCTCGCCTGCATGAATGGCAATAGTCCTCGCCACGCGAGGGGTCGGCGACTTTTCGCTCGTATTGTTTCCCTTTCCTCTAACCCGATTTTATGTGGAATCCTTTTTTTCGAAGGGAGCAGAGATGAGATACCTGAGCGCATGGAGGCGGAAAAGCATCTGTGACAGAGAGAGAGAGAGCATGGATGCAAAGTGTAGCTATGATTAATGACGTCATCTCGTTTCTGGAACTCCGTGTGCTGTGTGGAACACAAATCGTGCGAAACCTGACGCCCCCCCCCCCCCTGACGCCTATCGCCTTTGACTGGAAATTTCTTGGTGGTTGGCGCGGTGGGTGGGCGGGGCGCCGGGGAACTATGGGTGAAACCGTAGCTGCCATCAGGTGCGATCCGTTCCCAACAGCGCACCCGCTCTTTCATATCATGCCTCTGATGGCTTGATGGACGCATGAATTATTGACTGAGAAGTAAGTCGCTACAACAATGGGAGGCTAGGCTTACTTAGGGCGCGCCGATACGCGGTATGAAACGCTGTCTATTCTAGCAAGGGAATTCATTCGAGGTACCTGCGGCCTTCGTGAAGAGCACCGCCTCCACAAGAAGTTATCGTTTGAGACGCGAGTGCGGAAAGGTGGAGCCAAACGGTTTTCATGCTGGACTTGTTCCAATTCAGTTAACATGAACTGGCACAAATGGAGCTCCTTTGACAAGGTTTCATTCTGGGTTTCAGGCGTTTCCTGCGTCTTATTCCATATTACTGTGACTTCGAAATTAGATTATTAACTGCGTCCAATTATACCCTAATTTCCGGTGGATAAGCCCGCGCCAGTATCACGTAAAAACACCTCCACTGGTGCAGTGTACTTGAGTACATCTAGAGTCAACCGTAACATGCCCATAGGGGTAATTCGATATGCTGATTACGAAAACGACATTCGTTTTTAGGAGGTGGCCCATCTGGCGCCAGTTGGCGTCCACCTTGTCACGACCCTTGTTTTCGCCAAAATCGGTGTAAACTTCAGTATAGGGGTTTTTCCCTTATTTGGGGCCCTGATTACGAATATGACATTCATTTTTGACGAACGTTGTTCGGCGCAAATTTCTCGATTGGAGAGCACAGACGAGCAGAAAAAAGCACCAAATTGATGTCGCAGCCAAATGCCATACTGTCATCAGCCGAACCAAATACCCTATGTACTGAAGTTTACACCGATTTTGACGAAAACAAGGGTCGTGACAAGGTGGCGCCAACTGGCGCCAGATGGCGCCAGCGCTGAAAATGAAAGTCATTTTCGTGATCAGGGCATCGACTTACCTCTATAGGCAAATTTGCGGTGGTTTCTAAGGTGTACGAAAGTTACACTGCACGAGCGGAGGTTTTTTTATAGTAAAGGCATAGGCTTGTGTACAGGAAATAAGGGTATGTATTCTGTTGCGATTCGATGACCACTAGGGCGAAAACCCACGTTGTCGACAAAGGAACTTGTGGGCTCCCGATTGTAGGCGCAGAACTCATTGGGGCCGTATCTCCTATGACGCTTCTAAACGCTAAGTGATTCCAATCAACCTCCTATTTCTCTAGAATTATCTGACATTGCTTACTACATGAACTAGAACTTAAAGCGACAACCCAGATCGAATTGGTGAGGTGACAGCCGTTGATAGTGATGGTGGGACATGCTTTTTAAACACAATCCCATCAATGCGATGCATTTATCACATCTATTTATTATCAGCTATTTTATCCGCTACGCCGTAATCCACGTTACATGCCAGTGGATGCGGGGCTCGTCCATAAGTTCACAGCTCATCAGATCATTTTGTGATTCCATAGTCCCTTGCAGAGTCAACCGTGCGTTGCGCAGTTCGCAACGGCACGTTGAGAGATCCTCAACGCACGCTGTATGGGCGGAGACACAGACGGCTCGAGCATGCGAGTGTGAATGTTCGCGCGAGAGAACGTGTCTAATCGGGCGAAACTGCGCAACGTGGCCGTTGAGAACTGCGCAACGCACGGTTGACTCTGGCCCCTTGTCGTGCTGCGACACGACAAAGGTACATTTGTGATACTCGTGGGCTACTCTATCTCATCCAAGAGTAGCCTTCGGCGCGACCTTATCTAGGTTGCTGCTTTAAGTACTCGACTAAGACCTCCTCCATCACCTTCATCTGATTTAATTAGGGGATTTTAAGAATTTCTTCTGAACTAGGGCTTACACGTTGCTACGACCGAGAACGCACGCGAAGTTTATATCTTTATGTACTATGTGCATTGGCACTCTTAGGTTTTTTGAGCGATGGTCGCGATTCACAGCCACTGCTTCTAAGGAAATGTGAAACTAGTGAGTCGCACTCGAGCAGTTAGCCTAATCAAAGATCCCGTAGTGAAACCGGACAAGAATACGATCTACTGTATTGTCTTTCAGTCGCTACGTATACAGAGTATCGGTGAACCATTGGTAAGCCGGCGTGGTAGCGCCGCAGACGGAAGTCGAAATAGCAATTCACCATATTTATCTCGTCCAACGCAAAGCATGCCGAGTACTGATCCAGTTGCTTCCTTCATGAGGGCTTTAGTGAATAAGTAAGTTCTACTGGTAGTAACTTAGATAGATCTTCATAATTGAGAGTTGCTGCTAGTTCTCATCACCGAATCTGTATTATCATTAACACTGATTTATAATTCTTTAGGATCTTCGCGAACCCTCCACCACGGAGGGACAGAAGGCAAGAAGTAGTGATATCCGAACGAAATAACGCCCCGGCTACGGTGACTGCAAATAGTAGATCTTTAAATATCGGTGATATTTCCATAACTCCTCAGAATCAGAGAAGTACAAGTAATCTGCCCTACCCTCCATCTCACCATGATCACGAGCAAATTTCAACTCTGGAACAGGTGAGCGATTTCTCTCAATAGTCTCACTTAGGGCTGATGTACACTTTAGACTCTTCAAGGAGAATTCTAGTGCCACCTTGTCTTCAGTTGCTATTCGAATTTTTTTGCTAAATAAGTGCTTGGACAGGTGTTAGACTTCTGACCAATCGCCAGTGAATTGCGTCATTCGCTAGTCGCAGAGTCGCTAGGTTGGTCGCAAAGTCTGACATGTGCTTTAGCTACCTACCTCTTCTATCTAGCATGCTATTGGAGCAAGTGTTTGTATAGCATGACAACCAACAGCAGTTGGAGTATACTTTAAGGTTGTTGTTCCATGATAACTGATAATGAAGATATGTGGTTTGAGAATAATAAGCGGAGATCTTCTGGTAATTGCTTTGCAAATTGGTTAGCGACGCTATAGCACACTCCCGTTGATTAGGCTTTAAACAAAAGTTGAACTTGTTTTTTGTGGGTCCAGGTCAGGCTCACCACTCAGTGATCCCTACCCAGCGTAGAAGCATGAGTTGAGGCGAGTGCAATGGATACTGTGCCTTCTAATATCGAACCCCCTTGCCGTGTTCATCGCGCACTGAGCTCCTTACACCTGAAGGTTTCAGTGGGTCCATACCATCTCCATGTACTTTGGTGTGCCGTTAGCCTCTAATATGAGCTGTGCTGCTTCTGATGAGGCAATTTTGTTGTCCATTCTCGCATTAAGTGAGACATGCTCAATGCTTGATGCTCAACCCTGTCAATCGCTAGGTATCGCACCAGACCCTATGCTGCTCAAGTTTGCCGTCCTTTACTGTCACCCGACCCTTTTACGTCGTCACTATTCCATCTGTAGCTGGCCCATCTTCGAACACTCAACTTCTGCACTGCTACTAGAACCAGATGATGCTAGAAACCACTTTCCCATTAGGAAGAGCCATATGTTTTCCATCCGCACGCACCTTTTCACGGAATTCACACAGGCGTTCGTGGTTATTTACATTTTTTAGCGTTACAGTTGAATGCGCTATGTTGCTCGGTTATGAATATTCTGTGCTCTTCTGTACCATCTGAGTTTTTTGGTGTGCGATTACGAAGCTATCAGAGTTCGCATACTTATTGTTACAGCTTTGAAGGCAAGTACTGTAGGCTGTCCTGAAACTCAGTTCCGTTTTTACATTGTAAAAAATTGGAAGCATTACGGGTGGGGGGTTCGATATAATCCCACCAACACCACACGTGAGAATGGTATGGTCACCCAAGCACACCCCTCCACCCCTTCATCACCTTTACCACGAACTCCCGCCATCATGATTGTGCTTCGGTGTTTACTTAAAGG